TCCCACAATTCCCATGCTTTGTGGGAGGAGCCCAATGGGAGGTAATTGAATCATGGGAGCAGGTCTTTGCTGTGATGTTCTCATGACAGTAAGTATCACAAGGTCTGATGTTTATTATAAGGGGGAGTTTCCCTGCACAAGCTCTCCTCTCTTGTCTGCCACAATGGGAGATATGCCTCTCACCTTCCACCATGATTGTGAGGCCTCCCCAGCCACGTGGAAGTGTAAGTCTATTAAATCCCTTTCTTTTGTAAATGCCCAGTCTCAGGTATGTCTTTATCAGCAGCATGAAAACAGATTAATACGTCAAGTGAAAAATTCTTAGCCTGAGTTGCAAACAGCAACTGGATAGCCTTCCATTCAGTGAAGCAGCTGTCTCATTTCTGTGTAGCTGCATGAACATATCTAGAACACCAATGGTAATATTCTAGCATTCTGTGCAGTTCTCACACAAGGGACCTGAGTTTACTATCTACCTCACAATAAATAAAGGTAATTATACTCACAGTGATCACTACATAGGGTGTGAAACAAGACAGTCACAGTCACAAATGTTAGCAATAATTTCTCTGCTGGTTGACAAAGTTACCCACTAAAATAAGCTACAGACAAATCCCACATCATTTCTATCAAACTTTTCTAAGGCCACTAGTTTTGCGGCAATTGGAGCCTCAGAGAGCCTTAGATCACAGCCAAGAGCAGCATGTAAAGCAAATAACCCTTTAGGGATATGACACTCTACACGTTAGTTTTGTACTTTCAAAAGCTTATTGACTTAGGATGGAGACACTTAATATGTGATATCAATCCTTTCATGTGCATGTGATTATTTACTTGGCAAGCTATACTAATAACAAATTGCACCAAAATGCAAAGCTGTCTACACCAGCAGATTTTTATCCTAAGGTAAAAATAAACAAAAACATATGTAAAGAAATCATGTATAAAGCTACATTTATTAACAAATTCATTTCCTAATAAAACACCATCTGCAAGCAACCCTCAGTTTCCACTTGATATAAATAGGCCTTTTACTGTTTTCAGATGAAGTTCCCAGAAAATTCTTCTAAACCCAACTGCGGAACACATCAGCAATTTGTTGTTGTTATTGCCAGGAATGTTAATAAACTCTATGACATGAAGTTTTGTTTGTTTGTTTGTTTATTTATTTATTTATTTATTTTTGAGACAGAGTCTAGCTTTGTCACCAGGCTGGAGTGCAGTGGCGCAACCTTGGCTCACTGCAACCTCTGCCTCCCGAGTTCAAGCTATTCTCCTGCTTCAGCCTCCCGAGTAGCTGTGACTACAGGTGTGTGCCACCGTGGCCAGCTAATTTTTGTATTTTTAGTAGAGGCAGGGTTTCACCAAGTTGGCCAGGATGGTCTAGATCTCTTGACCTCATGATCCACCCATCTCAACCTCCCAAAGTGCTGGGATTATAGGTGTGAGCCACTGCGCCCAACTAACATAAAGTTTTTAAACAAATTATTTGTTAAAATGACATGCCTCAATTGAAAAGTTGACCTTCTGCAATGAAGTTGGTTATACTTCTAATATCCTTATTGTTGATACAGAAATTCTAAGACGCATTGAAATGTTTCAATGATAAAAAATAAAAATCTCCCCACTACATACTCAATATGTGGACACATAAACAAACATGGGCACACACACTTGCACATCACATTTCAGTAATAGTTTGTGATCTCTCAATTCATAAATATAATGTTATGTGCTTATTTGTATATCTTAGAATGCTGTCTGTTTTCTGGCCATTCAACCCATCCCGCTTCACCCTCCCCACAAATGCACTTCACTAACACTCATCAACCTCCTGTCACCAGAGCCAGGGAAAAAGTTGAGAATGCTCAAAGAAATACTGTGATTGCTCCATGGATAAGTCTTTTTGGTAATAACTTAGAGTAATGTTACCACTCATCAAAGACAGCTACACTGACTAGGGACCCGGAACCCAATGCCTGAAACTTCTTGGCGCCAGGAACTGGGGCTGAATTCTAATGGTAAGTGTTTTTGAAAAGTGCATCAAGATTTAATAGGGTGAATTTTCAGACTTGGTCAGAGTTTTAGCCACATAAATTCCATTAGGTTCAAAGCTTTGTAATGCTCCACCCTGTCTGTATTTATGCCCGCATTTTAATCTGCACCCTTCTAAGCTCTCTTGGTGGGCTGTGTAACCTCTCTTTTCTTTTCCTCCTATTTTTGATTCTCACATTACCCTTGGGTTCTGTATATGCCTCTGAGTTTAGGGCTTTAAGCTTTTCTCTACTCTTCTGTCAAATCGTTCCTTGAAACCCATATTTTAAAATAAGTACTTTCTTCACTGATCTCCTATCATGACTTTATTGCACCTGGCCCGTTTTTCATACAGAGCTCTACCAAGGTCTGTTTGTACCATCACCAAAGGCTGCATGCACATAGGCTGCTCCTGGGATAATCGTCTCCAGAGCTGATGACAGCTCAGACTGTCTTTGAAAATGTACCTCTCATTGGTGTGCCAGAGCACTGAGTGAAAGCATGAAGTCATTTCTGAATCTGGGTCAGCCATTTTGTGAATGTATAAGAGAGAGAATTACAACAGAGTGGATTTTGCTGGGTCTGTGATTTGTCACTCTACTAATGAGGTATGGAAACAGGCTGACAGACTGCTTTATGGGGCAGTGCTATTTCCAGATCAGTTCTGGCTGTGTAAGGAGGGAACAGCAGCAGATACCAGGGCAAAAGAAGAAACAAGAATGATATACCCATCTCCCATTATACTTCTACTTTTTCAAAGCAGATCTCTTTTTTGGTTTTTAAGTATTAAAGCCTGTATTAAGTCATTCCATAGAAATTATGGCTAGGATTTCTCAATGACAGAACAGGAGCAGAGCAGAGTAAGAAACACGCAGACAGAATACAACTGAAAAAGATATAACTCATGATGGATTTCCTAGCAATTGTTTACATTTGTGCATGTTATTTGATTAACATTGTGGCTTAGAAAATGTAATCAAGTAACCATTTTTGAAATTCATTCATTCAACAAACATTTATTGAATATCTACTATGTGCTAAGTATTTTGCTAGGCGCTTGGGATACAGAGAGAATGAGGTATTCCTTGCTCTTAGTGAGCTCACAGTCTAGTAGAGGAGATAGAAACATAACCAAATCACTACAATACAATGCAGTCGGTGCCAATCAGGGCATATAGAAGTTGCTAGAGGAGCCGAGACAAAGGGGTTTTTAATTAAGCTGAGGGGATCAGGGAAGCTTTCACAGAGAAGGTGACAACTGACCAGACCTGAAGAAGAAACAGGACTTCACCAGGAAGACAAAGGAGGGTGGGGAAAGACATTCTAGGCTGAGGGGACAGCAGGCCAAAAAGCAAGGAAGCGTGATAAAGCATGACATGACAGGGAACCACAGGTAGTCCCATATGGCTGGGATTTCAACTGCACATGAAGAAGTAGTGAAATATGTAGCCAAAAAAGGAGTATGAAAATAAAGGGTGAAGAGCCTTGTATGTGTGACTAAGAAATTTGGACTTTTCCCTGGAAGTGATGAGAAGGCACTGAAGAATCAAAAGCAGGGAGTGACATGGTCAGATCTGCCTGTTAGATGAGCCTGCATGGATGGTATGGAAGAGAGGTGAGACTAGAGGGAAGGAGACCAGTCAAGAGGGGCTCTCACAGCAGTCCACTGAAGGCTCACAGGTGGTTCAAAGGCAGTGGGGGTAGAGGTGACAGACTAGAGAGATACTTAAGAGGAAGCTTGACAAGACTTGATGAATGATGATACAAAAAGCAAAACTGCCTCAGAAATGAAACAATATTAAAAACATACATTCAGAAAATATAGTCAACAGCCTCAGGCCTCCCTCCCTTTATGTTCCCATTGTCCTCTGAAATCACCGCATCTGCTGAGGATAAATAAAGGAAGGAGAGCCAGGGGGCTTATAGGGTCACACTTCTCTAACTAAGATAACACTGACTTGGAGTCTGTAACCATTCAGACAGACTGCCTGTCACTCCTATTGAGTAAGAATTTAACCCTACTTTCTTCCTCTGTGTTATTTCAAGCCTTTAGTCACCAGTGACAGGAATCCAATCTAAAGGCAGTGGCTTCTTCCAATCAAGACCTTGAGGTGCAGTAGACAGCCGCTTACATAGTGGTGTCTGAGAGGCAGCACCATATATGCTCCCCACCCAGGGACCACAAGGCCTGGAATCCAATCATTAGCGATTCATTCCTCAGAAGAGGCTTTGGTGCCTCTGGACTTCTCTTTTACAAGGCAATGATTCCTGAGATGGGTAGGATATTTAGTCATTCTAAACCAGTGGGCTTTAGTTACTTGTAATGCCTTTTGCTTTGACGGAAAGGATGAAGGTAGAATAAAAGGGCTATGTAGATACCTGTGGAGGAAGGAGATGCAGAAGGGAAGATTGATGGATATGGAAGATAACATTAAGATCTTGCTAAGGAATAGCTCTGTAATCACTTAAGAAACTAAAATTCTTAAAGAATTCCTTCTATTTCAGGTTCCAGCAAACCACACTTCTACATTCTTCTACTTTAAGAAACTTCTGTATTTTAGGTTTAAAATATGCTATTGAGTAGTGAAGGCCTATAGTGACTCGCAATCTTCTCATGAACCTCATACTACTTATGACCAATTATAATCTCAAATGTCATTAATTTGTACATAATATTACTACAATTGTATTTTATGAAACTCTTTTATAACTCCAACTTGTCAATCATTCAGTCAGACCAACCTTGTCTTTTGTCATTCCAAATTATGGAGATTTAACTGTGTTTGCAGCTTGTTAATCAGTTATGTCACAAGTGACAGAAGATCAAAATTCAGACTCTGAACTTGAAGAGTATCCTATACAGCTCAATAAGGTAAATGAGAGCTGCTTGTGAATACTGGATTATAGAGGTTAGAGCAGAGAAATTTTAAAAAGTGAAACCAAACAAAACTTTAAAAATTACTTACTTCACTTGTTTGGAGGATGGTGAACTTTGGCAGTTTAGTCTTTGAACTGGCTGCACTGGGTTTTCCATCCAAGAGTGTTCCAAATGACAGATTCCCAAAGCTGTTCTCAAATTCAATTGAAGGTTTCAGTGTTGGCGAGATGTCTGGTGCTTGGTCCTGGCCATCCATGGGTCTGACGTATGCAGTTGGCTTTTGCTGCCCCATGCTTGTTTTGCAGTAAAGCCCTGGTGGGAAGTTTTGAACTGAAAGGCCACTGCTAGGAGCTAATAAAGAGGAAGCCACTAGGGGAGACCCAGGTGCTTGCACGGCGAATTCAGATTTTTCTGGTGAATTGGATTGAAAGATTTCTTTGAAAGCATCTTCTACACTAGACTTAGGGTTACTGTCTTCCTTTGCAGATGGGTTTGACTCTTCAACTTCTCCAATCTGGGGCTGTTCAGCTGGGTAGACAAAGAAGTCTTCCAGTTTGGCTTGAGACTGGTCCTGTGTCAAAGTCTGCATCTTGTTTGGCTGACCACTGGCCTGGCTTGCCAGTACAGTGCTAGGGTTATGACTATCACGTGACCACTCAGGTTTTGATTTTCTGTTGCTATGTATTAGAGTTGAATTCAGTATCACAACAGAAGGTGGAGGCATTGGTGCTGAAGGATGGGTATTATCCTGGTGAGGTGGAATTATTCTGTTCTTTTGTTCTGGAAAAAAGCTTGGTTCATTTTTGTTGATGGGATTCTGGGGTACAGAATTCTTTGGAATTCCCACTAGATGATTCTGATTAGAATGATTAGTTAGCAAATCCTTCATTTCATCATAGTTTCCAAGCGTGTTCTGGACTCGGTTGGCAAGTGCATCACCTTTGTTTGTCTAAAATAACAAAAAGATGGGGGTGGGAGGAGAGAGAATGAATAGGTTTGTGTTTCCTAATGTTAATGTTTCAAACAGATGCCCTAAGTAGACTACCATACGGGGTTCTTTGAAATTGCTCTGTTGCCATATAATTTCATGCTTTTCATGTGCTATGTAAGAAAAAAAAATCAATAACACTATTGAAAAAGCCTCTTGGAATGAGTGGGTATGACTAACATTTGTATACTCCCTAGCCAGTTCTTAAACATGTTCATTGATAAAAAGTTTTAAATTATATCATTTATTAATTTTATTAGAAAAAATAATTTATTCTGTGACAGATGAGCTGAATTGCTACATTCTACATTGTGATTAACAACTTTTGCTTACCAATCATTGGAGTTATAATGGAGTGTTCTACCTATATAAATGTTTGACATATCAGCCTTTGTACCACATTATACCATGAAAAAGGCTTAGGCTATTGGATAAGAAAATCAGTTAAATTGTACTACCATGACTATGATAAGTTTAGAAAAGGAATGGAATTAAACAGCATCTAATTGAGCTAACTTATGACTAAAGTGAATCTGATTCCTTCTAATCAAAGAACTGTATGAATTACTAGTGTTTGCCTGTATATTCTGGAAAGACTGTGTTTACATATTGATGATTCACACTCATTTACTTTGAAATGGTGCAATTGTTTTCAACAGTGACTCAAACCCTTCTGTGTCTTTTCAATTATTAAGGAAAATTTATTCAAGTATTTAAACTGTTGTTTAAGTAAACCAAAACAAAGTTATCTTTTCAAAGTGATGTTAGCCTAATGTAGAGCAGTTAGAGAGGCAACTAAATCATTTTATGGACAATCAGTATACCAGCTACACCACCCTCTGTGGGATGTATTTGTTCCATTAAAATGGCTGTGATTGTTTTTAAAATAATTATGCTCCTGCATGGGTTTTTGTAATACAGAAAGCAAAGTTATCATACTAAAAAATGATGGGTAGCTGTATACTTGGAAATGACTTTGATGCAAGCTCAGTTGTTCACCCCCAAAAGTGGCTTTCTTTATTCTCTTTATATGCCAAAGAGGTTATCAAAACAAGCTGCTGAATTCAGAAAGCCAAAGGACTTTTTTGTACCTAGGCTGTACTATCCTGGCCCAAGATGTTGCAATGATAGAAGGCTACCAGTATTCAAGGAGCCATCTGGGAAGTGGGCCACAAAAGATATCACCCTATGTGGCCTTCAAGTCCCAGAAGCCATGGGTACATTTTCAATGCACAGGAGGGAGTGACCATCTAACCATTGGTACACTCTCTGCTGAAGACAGTTGTTTAACATCTAAAATTTTTCACATGCCGTTAACACAGCCCAGTCTCCTGGTGTACACAGGGAGTATACCTATCCAGGGCTAGCATCTCAGTCTAAACTTAGGTTGTATGGCTGTGTGTTTTCCTCTTTATGTGAAGATGGGAGGATATGCAGATGGATAGAGGGCGAAGTGCCAGAAATGGGTGAAATCGTCTGGGGAAAGCAAACGTAGAAAGAGAAGGTAGGGATTCACAGAGAACCCTGGGAAGCATCAACCTTTAAGAGACTGAGATAAGATGAGGAGCCAGCAAATGATACCAAGAAGGAACAATCAGAGAGAGAATCAAACCAGTAATCTTGGCCTCATTATCAGCACCATCTCCATATACCATATAAAGTATTTTATTCATACCGTGTATGTGAAACCATATGATACACTTCCAAAGAAACGAGGGCAATAGGAGAAATATAAATTTCAAAGATTAAGGAAAAGTATGCTAAACATATGCTAAGGGAGCTCTGTCAGGGACAGATATTTTTAGAAATCAAGTAACTACATGTCAGTTTTAGTTTGCTTATCCTCCAATCATATATTGCATCATATGCAACCTTAGTATTGAAGTAGTGATTAAACAATTAACATTCTCTATAATCCTCAGCTGAATAATGACTCTGTTTTCAAAAGTACATCTGAAAGATATATTAAAAGTTATAGATGGATAGAAGTCACTTTTACTTCCTAAAAGTCTCTAGGTTTGTCATTTTTAAAGGCAGGAATTACTTTTCAGCCTAGACAAGAATAAACCCTTTGTATATAGTGGTCTCCTTCAACTGAGTTGCACAATGAACCACATGGACAGCAGCCAAAACCAGGCTCCCTGTTCAATCTCTAAATTTAAAACAAACAAAAAAAAATCATTGTGCTGAGGGTCCAACAAGAATCTGATGCAAGCTTTAAACATTTGTAGGTTATTTTGGCCTGTCAAACAGATTACCTCGTGGGTCAGATGTTTGCCTCATGAACAGTGATACCCGGCCATATTCAATGATCTGACCCAACAAGGGAAAACAATACCATTTCACTTCCCATTAGAATGTCTTCATTCTATTATCTGGCTTTCACAGAAACAGAGCTCTGCAAAATCAGAACCTTGTCCCTAGGTGTCATAGAGACCACTGTAATACCTCCATGCCCTGAGAAGTCATTGTAGTCTCCTTAAGGAAACATAATCAGGACTTAAGAACATGAAAGCTCATTTGCTTACAAGCAAGCTAGTCAAATTCCTGTTCTTGTTTCAGGAGTAAATAAAAGAGGTTCATATTTTCCTCAGTAGGGAGAACCTTGCCTACCTTTGTAATATCTCTTCATTGACAATTACTTATAATGATCTGGGTTTCTGAAGCAAGCTTAGATATATTTTTCCATAGCTAGGTTACAAAAATATAATTGAAATTAAGAGAATTTCTAAACTGGCCAATGTCTAAAACTGTGTCTATGTGAACAAAATTAGAGGAAAATTGAAATTTCTCTCAACGAGTCTAGAAAATCAACCTTCTACTACACAGTGTATACTACACTTATGATAACTTTTCTTGAATAAAACTATGAGTTCTTAAAGGTCAGAGACTACATTTCACTTATTTTTATATACCCAAGATGTAGCACCATGTCTTGTGCTTATCAAATACTCAATAAATTTTTATAGAATTGAATAGGATAAATTAAAATTCATACCCTGTCTATATCAAAATAAAGAATTTGCAATGACTGGAGTCAAAGGTACATAATAGAAAGCAAAAATCAGGCTAACTTGGTTACTACAATTTAACATTAAATTAACTTTGAGTTTCCTGGTAGCTAAGGCAAAAAGGAAAAGCTCGTAGGTTACAGAATTATCTTTGATCGAAAGAAGCATATCCTAATTCATTAAACGAGACAAATGGTTGTCTGATAATAAAATGTGAAAAGGAATTCCTCTCATTGATATGTTTAGAAGAACAGTTGAGCAATGAAACAATTTTTGGGGCCTCATTTTCCAAGATGATGCAAATATGTCTTCATGTGGCTTTTTCTTATGATGACTAACTCAGTGAAAGCATGTCTGTATGTGGACTTAGAGGTCTAGGCTAATACAATCCAGGCGTGCAGCTTTCTTGCACACTAATGACACAGGAGTGAAGCTGTGATAACCTGGAGAAATGAGGGATGTCATCTCCCTTAGACTAGTTTCCTCATAGAGCAATTGTCTCAGAAGGACGTGTGACAGGAAATGTATAGCACACAGTTCAAGGTTGAGTTCACTGGTGATGCTTTCTGAGTTGCTGATTGAAGGAAGATCCATATGGTTTGCATAACAGATGTTCTGTGGCTACACGTAGGAATTATTATAGTAGTTCTTAAGACAGACACTGGTAAATTTGGGACCCTCCTGAGGCAGGGTTATGCACAGAGGACACATGGACACAGAGCCTCAAGAAGTTCACCATTCAACAATTGGCATATAATTAGCAGTCCAGTCCAGGTTGTCAGAGTAAGCACTCCACCTTCCCACCACTGGAGGTGGGTAATTGTCAATCAGTTTTTAAATTTCTCAAGATGGAGATATGAGAACCACTGGATAGAAAACCTAATGGGACCCGAAATACATTTATACACACCTACACAATGTACTCTCATTATACACCATAGCAACTTCGGATTCATACTAAATGTTCTTTTTCACCCTCCTGAGTCTTAGTAATCCTATTAAGGAGCAAAATATTCTTGATAATCTTGATTGAACATTATAAACGTGACAAAAATGAAACTCAGCCATTTTAATCAATTATATGCTTCTTTCAATTATTCAATTCTTTACTTACCGGTCTAGATAATTGGTTGATTCTTTAAAGGTAACCTCTGCAGCCTTTATTTTCTAAGTAATCACAATTTCTCTATCATCAGGAAATGCATTTTCCAAGTATTTTCAGGCATAAATTACATGTCTGGTTTGTGGCTCATGACTAACAGCATTCCTTCATTTAAGCTTTTTCGCCTCTCATTACTTCAGGAAATGCAAACTTCCCTCAGTTTGTTTCTAATGCTATCTACAAATCAGTAGTATAATTTCATTGCATGCAAGACTAATGTGCTAGGAGGCTATTGTACCATATTATTTCTTTTTAATACAAGTAGCAAAATAATTTAAGTTTTGAAGCTCATTTTTTTCTTTTATTTTATTGTGGCCAACATGTGATTTAGTAATTCATTTTTTTCTAATTCTAGTATTTTTGCAGTTAATCTCTCTAAGCTCTAAGTTTCTATTTCCTTCTTTACTCTAATTATAATAACGATAATACCTGAATTTGTATAGCACCTTACAGATTTCAAAGCAAGGTTTCCCACATTATTTCATTTGATCCTTAGAACAACCATGTGAGTCAGCAGAGTAGGTCTGGCCTCCATCTGGCCTCTACCTCTATGTGCCCCAACACAAATGACCTTGGGTAGGCCACTTAATAATCCTCTCTGCACCTCAGTTTCCTCATTCCTATTGGGCTATAAAGAGTCATAGAATGTTACTATTCTTATTAATTACTATGATTCAATCCAGAAAGGAAAAAGAAAACCTATGGATCAGAGAAAGGGAGTTTCTTCTCCACTGTCATCCAGCAGGTAAGCTGATCAAGTCTTCTGACTTCCCATCAGAGGATAAATAACTTCCTGTTACAGATACGGAATCATACAGAACTGGATGCAAAGTCTAAATTCGCCATGTATAAGGATATGAAAATGCAAAGAAGACATCTCGATTCTCTGAGTTAAAATTCCTCATGGAAAACATGGGAAAATTGCATACCCCAGTTGTTATAAGGTCTAAATGAGCACACACATGAAACTCTAGCACAGTGCCTAGCACACAGTAAGCTGGCATGCACTTGTTACATGCCAGTTCCTTACCAGACTTAGTGCACTAACCTAGACAAGTCAAATGGCTTCATGTTTTTCAGGAACATTTGAAGACATCCTTCTCAATAGCATAACACAAACTCCAATTTGAAAATCATATGCTACAAAAGCAGCCCAAGAGAGAAGTTTCCTATCACTAACCAAATCTAGGGACGGTCAACATTCTCTCCATTCTAGCAGTGGTAGAGGCAAAGAAAAGAAGGGAAAGAAATTAGCCAGGAACATGAGAGATCACCATTTATCTTTCTGCCAAGAAAGGATAATAGGTCCTAGAGATCAGTGTTCATATTGGCTAGTTTATGAACCACTGGTGCTCTTGGACAGGTAACTGGACCTTGTTTTAGGCTTCAGGGTAGCAAGAGCTTTCCTGAAAGTCTTGACCCACCATCAGGAATGTTTATTCTAAATTTGATAAGTCCTCCCACTGCCACCTTAGGGAAGAGCTGTGGTATGTTCTCGTTTCTACCAGTGGACCATGGGCCAGCTCTAGGACCCCCATGACCACTGCCATGTCAGCATGTCCAGATACTCCAAGGGTATCCAGCCCAGTCTTGGTCTGGAGAGCCTTATGGAGGTGCAACATCAGTTCTAGTATTCTGTTACTCCTCAGTGCTGTCCCAGGGAACCCTGAATGTGGACACAGCTCAAGATGACAACCAATCATCAAAGCAAGGGTGAAAGAAAAATAATTATTAGGTCAACAATCACTAGCATTATTCTTTTTCTTCACAGTTTTGACTTAAGAACAAAGGTTTTGGCTAGGCGTGGTGGCTCACGCCTGTAATCCCAGCACTTTAGGAGGTCAAGGTGGGCAATCACCTGAGGCCAAGAGTTTGAGACCAGCCTTGCCAACATAGTGAAACCCCATCTCTAGTAAGAATACAAAAATTAGCTGGGCATGGTGGTACGCACCTGTAATCCCAGCTACTTGGGAGGCTGCGGCAGGAGAATCACTTGAACCTGGAATGTGGAGGCTGCAGTGGGTCGAGATCGTACCACTGCACTCCAGACTGGGTGACAGAGTGAGACTCCGTCTCAGGAAAAAAAAAAAAAAAAGAACAAATGATTTTCCTCATCAGGAAGCACAAAGGTAACAAGCTACTAATCATGCAATACGCCCTGCCCCACACTATACTAAATGTTCCCATCTATGTCTCTACTTGATGTACCCTTGTAATATCAAGACAGATGGCTTTTGAAACTTCTGAAAATGTTGATAACAGATTTTTTCCACTGCCTACTCAAAAATACACTGCTAACATTTAAAAAATGGATCTATATAACAGGCCTTGTGAAAAGATGGCATTTACCTTAAAGGTACAAGACCATCAATTTATCATGACTTAAAATTATGAAGGGAGAATAAATCAAGAGTTCTTCACCTCATTATAGTGTTGAGAATAGTGTGGATGTTGGATTTTAAGAATAAACTTTTGAGTAAAGCTCATTTTTCTAACCCATCCAAAGATAACATGTAAAACTTATCTCCTTGTTCCTTCTTCACCTTGAGAAAAGATAAGACACTTACCATGCTTTGACCTCTCCTCTATTTTCTGCAGAAAATGGAAGCCCTGATTTCTTGCACTTCCCCAATCTTCCTTCCCCTCTCCTGCTTTGTTCTCATTCTAATGTTCTGTTCCCACCTTCCACCCCATAGGTCATGATTCCTCAACTGCTCTCCATCTTGTATTATTTTTAATCTCCTCTGGGACCTTTCTCCACTTAGCTTCACCCTTCTCTCCTGTATCTTCCACCTTCTCTTTCTCCATTGAAGTTATTTGCTTCCCATCAATCTCTAAACATGTTCACGTTTATCTCATTTTTTAAAAAAGCTTCCCTTTATATAATTCCTCCCTTTACTTTCTAACTTATCTTTCTTTCTTTTTTCCTCCATGTAAAACATTTCTGCAAGATCATATCTACATTGACATCTCACTTTCTTTACTTAACCACTTCCCATTTATTCTCCAACCCCTGGCAGTTTGGCATCCCACAGTGACCATTGTCATCAACAAATAAAACAACTCTCCCTAAGGTCACCATTACTCCTTAACTGCTAAATCCAAACAGCCACTTTAAAGTTCTTACCTTTCCTGACCTCTCTGAGGCACAGCAAATCCTTCCTCTACAAAATCCTTAGCTCCCTAGGTTTCTATTAAATGTTTCTTTCCTAGTTCTCTTCCTACCACTCTGATCATTCCTTTGGAGTTTCCTTTCCTGCCCTCTGCTTTCACCACCTCTTTTACCCCTTAAATGGTGCTACTCCCAAGAATTGTTTGTCCTCCTTTTTATTCCATAATCTCTTCAGTGATGGTAGGCATTCTCACAGCTTCCACTAACACCTATAAGACAATAACAGCTAAACTTCTCTCTTGACCACTCCCATGAGTTTCAGACCCATATATCCAAGCCTTCTGGATAGCTCTCTCCTGATATCTCTCTAGCATCTCAAAGCCAACATGCTCAAAACTAAATTAGTTATTTCTTCTCTACAAGCACCAACCATGTTCTCTTCCTGAACAACTTGTTCATGATACCACCACTCTCTCAAATAAAAAACTTGGGAAACATTAATTCTTATTCCATATTCCCCACATGCAATTAGACACCCAATTCCATAATTTCAACTTCCTTACTCTACCTTAAATCATTCTTGATATAAGCTCCCCTCATCAATTACAATAGCTTCTTTATCTTTCCTTAGTATCTCCTACCTGCAACCCATGGTCCACACTGCCCAACATCATTCTAAACTGTTCATTTGTCCTGGCCATACCATGATTTAAATATTTGTAATGATTTTTATCATGTAAAAAATTATGTTCAAACTCTTTATAATGAGTTTGAGTACAAAGTCTTTGCTGATCTTTCCCTTGCTATCTCTCTGTCACCATGCAGGCATGCCATCACTGGTTCAAATGATCTCTGCCACTCGACTAGGAACTCCTTGAAAACACAGACTATGCTATTCCTCTTTGTACACTGGTGTAAGGCAGTGACTAGCACATAGTAGGCCTTCATAAATTTTTGTTAAACCAATTATATATCTAAATATATACCTTCAAAGTAGTATAAAAATTAACCTGTTGATATGGGAACACTGCTATTTTATGGATCATACTATTACTGACAGATTGAAAACCAGTAGCTTAGGTGACCTAAGTTTCTTCATCAGGCTTACCAAACTTGAAAGTTCCTGCAATGTCTCAATCAAGAGTTGCTTAGTTGCTTTGAACAAGGCAACAAGACCCTAGTCTCACCAGTCACCAATCCAAATAGCTTACTCTCTACCCCAAAGTAGTATTTGGGCCTATGCTGTCTTCCTTAAGAACTTTCCTTTTCCAGAAGTCACTGTCCCTTAAAGGGTACTCTTCTAAAATCACAGCTCTTGAAAATTTTCTCTATTGTTGTATTTCTTACATCATTTTTGTTTTATTACAGAAAATTACACTGATACTACATTTCAATAAAAACCAACCAGCTGCCAGCAATTCAGTAAGATTCTTCCATCATAATCTCTTCCCAGTCGCCTCTCATCTCTACCCCAAATAGAAAGTTTAGAAGCAGTCACTATAAAATCAATACTTGTAGACACAGCAGTTTGATGATTATTGGAGCTACACACTAGCCGGACTACCACTAGAAATTCAACCTAGCTATAGTACCCCCTTCTGGTTGAGACAATCTTCTAACCCATGATTATTAACCATCAGAAAAAATGATTGGCTTTTTTCCTTTATTCTGGAACAACGATTTTCAAAGAGCACTCAAACCACTGAAGAGCTGCTAACAACCTAAAATGGAAAAGAAAAACAGTGGCCTTGCAATGGATGACACTGATTGGGAAAAGAAACAGATATCTCCATTGACATTCTGATGAAGTCTTCAGGAGCTGCCTACTGACAATCACAGCAGTAGAAAGTGTCAAGGGGGCATTCCTTGCTGTAGGAAGTGTTGGGCAGAGAGGGGCTCATTGGAAACAGGAAGTCTCACAAGTATCTCTTCAATCCTACTGTGCTCCCGAAAGAAGATGAAATTTGTTTCTGAAGACTTCATCAGAAACTTGCAGTTGCCTCAAATACAGTGTATGTACAAATTTCACTTGTAAAATATATTCCCCTGGAAATGAGTTGGGTGCTTTAAACATAAATCAAATGTTGATTAGTGAGTTCGAAAATGTAACAAACAATCATTTTCCAGAAAGAAAAAATACATACATATTCAGCTACCTTGTATGGCTCCCCAAAAAGATCAAAGCCTGAAGAAAAGAGATCGTCTTCTTGCTGGACTTCTTGATTCCTCCGTTCCCATTCCCTTTTTTTAAGTGCACTACGGTCTTGTTCATAGTGACTGATATGAAAAGGAAAAGACAAAAAGAGAAGAAGATAAATTAATCATGCGAATCATTTAAATTTTTGTTGTTGTCAATAATAAAAAAAAAAAATTCAAGTCAACTTGCTGCCCAAGCTGACACTACATAGAGAGCAGATAATCCTTTTCATTACACCTATTGAGTTTAAGATCCTGACCAGCTCTTCAGAACAAAGACGAAAACAAAAACTTGCTTATCTGAAATTACATTCATGACAAGCAAGTAAAGCAAAATTCTCTCCCCTTGTCCTTGTTTGATTATTATAAGTAATTACATACTCCCCAAAAGTCAGTCCACAGTGCAGAAAGGTACTAAATTAAAGTTACATTGTGTTGCCAACTACCTAGGGCTCAGAATCCACAGATGTCACAAAGTCCTAAGAGAAAAGAATTATCAAAGTATGGAGCTGCAGATAAACTGGAATTCTGTCCTGAGCCCATAGACAAAGTGAGCCTGTTTTAATGAACTCACAGGAGAATTTAAGGACATTTTCGGAAGTCCACAGAAAAATAAATAACCAAATCACCTACACTTCTTTTTGTTTGGTTGTTGTGGTATTGGTCTTCTTATAGTTTTCTTCAAAGGTGAATGGAAGCCTTTTTGAGAAACTCTTCACAAAAAAAAGGGGGTCTGACTTGAATAACAAATGACTAGCTGTAGATGAAAAAAAAGGAGGTGTCGAAAGCCTTTAATGACCTCGATGAACAAATGCTTTACAAAGACTGTGACTCTCATCACATTTCAGGCTTTCCCATTGGAGGATCAAAAGCTCCTAAACAACATTTAAGATATATTCCAGGCCTTTTGGTATTATGGAATGGAATGCTTCCTTACTAAGAAAACAATTATTTTCTTCATCATGCAAGACTGCAAATTAAACCATAATTGTAAGTCTTGTAGCGGTGTATTTTATTTTATTCATTGGGTTTTTTTCATGCTTTTGATGTTAACCTTACCCAACGTGAGTACATACACACTGGGCAAATTTAAGTTACATAAATGTACATAAAATGCCTAGCAGGTGTTGGATAAATATTGGTTTCCTTCCCCATGTTAATATTCCCATGTTAAGACTTAATTAGATAATTGACATGCAAATGAACATAATAGCTAAAGGAATTACAAGAGATCTACTGATATAAGAGTACAGTTGACAGGCTTTGACTATATCCGAAACCTTAATATCTGTCATTGGTAGGCTAGTTTGCTCAAAGTATCATAAATTTAATTTACAAAGTAAGAACCTAGAACATAAACTATCTGTGCAGCTTAACTGGATGTTGATAAACATGGAGTGTACAATGCCACTACACTTAATCATCCACTTTTCTTCACAAGAATCCTTGAGGTCAAATTCAAAGTGACTTTGATAACTTCATCTCCTAGATAAAGAACACTCATTTCTCCATTAAAAAACAGCGACAACATTTATAGGATGTTTAAATGCACATTACACTTTCATAATACAAACAACGTCAGATAGATTAAAGCTCACTAGACCATTCATGAGTATATTCAACAAATGTTATCACTGTCTGAGCAAAGCAAACAAAACCTTCAGAGTCCTACCCAAAGCCAGGGCCCCACATCTAGGCCTCACCTGGTCAAGGAAGATGTCAAGTCCAGATACTGGAAGGCAGCCTATCATTTGTAGTCTCAGATGCCCTCCATAGGTATTAGATTTTCTAGCATCATCTTTCATTTCCATTCACAAGTTGAACTCAGTATCCCAAACAATTGCTGTGTGTCTCAATGTCTCCATGTTTGAGACTGACATGGAACTAATCAGGCACAATAACATCTTCAGTCCGTTAAGTGTGGCGTTTGTGACTACCTCAGCACCATACATTGGCTGTGTGTAATCCAATCCCATAAATTTGTCCAAATGTAAGAAAGATTGGGTGTTAGGGTGAGGGTAGAGTAACAAGTTAAAGCAATATTTAGTGAGGGCGGAGTTGTTGCAAAGGAGAAGGACACTTAATTTCTCTGCTTTCCATAGCAGATTAGTATCTATACACAAACAAGAACCAAAGTCTTTTCCTTCTGAGTAATGCAAGCAGGATGTCAGTTTTCTAGCTATCTGTTCATTTTGTGCACCTGACAGCTCAGAATGACAGGCCCATAGATCACATTTAATTCTCCCATGAAGAGAACTGAAGTGCTTTGGTCTCTTGGCTTTGCAAACTACTTTCCTTCTCCTCTGAGGGAAAGATATAATTAAAACCCTGAAGGAAAAAGAAAGGAGAAGAAGAAAAGGAAACGTGCTTCAACTTGCATGACAACCTTTCAAACGACCAGCAGTAAGGGCACTTTCGGTGCTTTGGCCCTGGCTTTGATTTGTTAGGAGGCTCTTGGCTGCATTTTGCATCAGTTCATTAGCTACCAAATTCCAGACACAAATTTGAATAGCAGATTGAGTGTGCACGCGGGTGTTATCCGTTGCAAGCAAAACTGCCTGCTGCATTTTTTAACACATCCAACAAAGAACAGTTAATTCTCATATCTCTGGCGAGAATGAATTTAATCTCCACAGAGCTCCACTGCTCTTGGAAGGCAACCAAATATCTCCAACTTTTTCCTTTCTTGCTCAGCATGGCGTTGTATTGAAGGCTTCACACAGAGAGGTCTAATGAGTAATGAACTACATGGTGATGAGGTTTTCAGTTTATAATGTCACTGATTTCTGACTGAAACCAACATTACTAATTTGAAGCACCAGCTAATTAAAACCACAGCTATGTATTTAGCCTCTTGTTATACCTACTGCAGTTTATAATTATGAGGACCTCTTTATCTACTCAATTAAATTTCTTATGATTCGGGCAGGTTGTGTTTGAACCTGTGAGCCCTGCAGAGGCTACAGGAAAGTATATGTCTGTCCCCTGATAATTCGATATATCTTTACACACCCAGGCCTGCTTTCCAAAGGAAAAAGAGCTCCATAGCCCACAGAGAAATGCTCAAGCCAAAAACCTGAATTAATCATCATACCATTGGCACGAACAATTCAAGTTTCTTCTCAGTGATGAAGACAGGACGAATTGATCCTATCAATCAGCATGAAAACCCATGTTTATACTGAGAAGTTAAGCCAAAAAGCTCAACTCAAGGATTCACCACTCTTAGCAAGTTAGGATATTTTTCCAACATTTTTCTCCTGGATATAATAAAATTGGTCACATTATGATAACACAAAAACTGACCACTCAAAACCAAATTTACTATGAATTAACCAAAGGTTTTAGGTTTCTCTCTCTCCAGGTTACCTTTTTGGAATCTCTATTTCACTGATATCCATACTAGTTCATTGGAAAAGGTCAGAAAGAATAATAAGTTCCATTTAACTACTTTGTTAATCACCCTGGTGTAAGGCATGATGGTGAGAAGCTTCTCTCTATCATAGGATTTTTTTTCTTTTCTTTCTTTCTCTTTTTTTTTTTTAGATGGAGTTTTCCCTCTTCTCGACCAGGCTGGAGTACAATGGCACAATCTCAGCTCACTGCAACATCTGCCTCCCAGGTTCAAGCGATCCTCCTGCCTCAGCCTCCAAAGTAGCTGGGATTACAGGCACCAGCCACCATGCCCAGCTAATTTTTTGTATTTTGAGTAGAGGCAGGGTTTTGCCATGTTGGCCAGGCTGGCCTTGAACTCCTGACCTCAGGTGATCCACCCGTCTCGGCCTCCCAGAGTGCTGGGATTACAGGCATGAGCCACTGCACCCGGCCCATGTTTTTTATATTAGCTGTGATTTCACCCACCTGTGTGCTTCCCTGGCCACCACAAACAGAGGAACTGCGCTCATTTACAAAAGAGGAAACTAAGGCCCTCCTAAAATGAACAGAGGCAGCTGTCTCAAGCCGTCATCAAGCTAGTGGCAAAGGAAAATCTGAATCTGTTTCTTCCATCTTCAAGTTCAAGTAATATCTTCTCCTAGCCTTCTCCTTCTCTCAGACACTTGAAGCTTATCTTGTATGTAGATAACTCTCATTTTGCTCATTAAAAGCCTCAGGTACATTGGTGGGACAATAAAATGCAGGGCACATGTAGATTCCCTGAGATCCAGAAAGTTCAATTACGCCGTCTTCATTAGCGCACAGTGGTAGCCCATGCAGGCTGACAATACAGGCTAGTCTTTTACAACAGAGACTGTTTAAAACAGGAAGAGAGTTTAGCAATCATCTAGTTGCAGTGCCCTCATTTTACAGATGAGGAAATAGAACTAAGGTAAGGTAATGGGCCTCACAGCGGGTTTGTCAGAGAACTAGGAGGCTGGAACTCAGGCTTTCACATTCCCAAGCTACATGGTTTGTCCCTTCTGCCTCCTGTGTTTCCATCACACTTCAGAATGAAGATGAGTCTCACATGCACTCCGTCGGTCACCTTTCCTTGGGACTGCTTTTTATTAGAAATTGCCAGTAGGGAAAATCTTTAGGGATTTAATTTGGATTCAAGTATAGAAAAACCATTAGTTTCCTTATATCAAAATGTACAGACCCTAAAGGGATTGTAAAAATTAACTGCATCGGTGGGGAAGAGGCTGGGCGAGGGAGAGTAAAAACCAGTTTCAGTCCATTTGGTTCATATATTTCATGAAGCCTAATACTCATTGTTTACCTAATTTGGTTATTTTACAAAGCCACTTGGGGAAACTTTAAAAAATTGATATTTTAAAATGATAAATTTGTTTTAAAATACTGCTAATATATGATTTGCTGTAGTAGTGGTGTACATAAAGGTAAATAATTCAGCCTCACGTGTTTTCCAGTCCAACTACACTAAACACCTTTATTTGGCTAATATCTTTGCAAAAGCATAAAAATACATATTTAGTCCACCCAAAGAACAAACATAAGCTATCACTCACTGCTTGTGGTTCTTCTGAATGAATCCCTGCCTTCTATAACATGTGTAGATATTTATCCATATTATATGTTCCAGAGAGTCAGGTGACACTTTTTCTATACCGAATCCTATTTTG